GCCTTTCCCTTCCCGGCTGGGGCTGTTGGGAGTCGCTGCCGCCGGAGGCCGCGACTCCACACCATTTTTTTTTCAGAGGGGAATCTGACTCGAGTATAAGCCGAGGGGGATTTTTTCAGCACAAAAAATGGGCTGAAAAACTAGGCTTATACTTGAGTATATACAGTACTTTCTGGTTTGGAATGCACATGGCATATGAATTAGAATCAATTTAGGTAACTACAGTGGTCAGATGAAAACACTGTAAGATGACCATACTATAATAAGATTGAATCACCTTTTATTTATTTTTCTCAGCTTTTTATGTATGATATGCAGATTAGATGTACTGCTGTTTGGGATCTAGTGAAGTTCTCCATAATGAACAAAATAATCCTAGAAATCAGTGTTACTATCATATTAGCAAACTATATTTTATTAGCATTGGTTATGATATTCCCTTCTGAATATTTTCAATTAAAATTTTACATGGTTTTGTGATATAGGCTAGATGTCAAACCATTTATCTGATAATTTAGTAACATTTAGTAATGTTATAAAGGGCCAAAGTTTAAAGGTAAAGAATTATTTCTTTGTGTTATGTATACTCACATGTAATTATATAATTCATGAAATAATATTGTTTGACTAAATGAGCTATAAAGCTCTACTTCTACTTCAACCATGATGTTATATGTAAATAAACAAGTTTCTAGATTTTTTAAAAATCTAGCTCTATCCATTTAGGCTTCTACACCTCAGATTTTTCCATATTAACCCATGGACAGAGAGGTAGAGGAACTGCATATTGATAGAAATGGAGGATTTTGGTGCCTTAGAGTTTTAAGTGACATGTTTTCTTATTAAGCAACGAGTAATGGTTAATAAATAAGGTGAATTCAAGAAAGTTCTCTTACAATAATTTGAAATAGCAATATGAAATCACACAGAATTAAATATATCTTGGAACACTTTTAGATGGGAATTTGAAACTGGACAGAATGAAACATGAAGTATCTTCCACCTCTTTGTTTCAGTGAAGAATAACACCTTGATACAATAGATAATGTATTTCAGCCCCAAATATGATAATCGGGCCAAGCAAGGCGAGGTACTCTGCACACGCTCAGAGACTCCCAACTTCAGTGAAGCATTCCGCCCATCTTTATGCTCTGCCTGGGAGGAGGAAGGCGTGCGGAAGCAGCCCAGACCAGCGGAGGCGGAGGGAACAATTGTTTGGAAACTAAGCAAGCAAGCGCAGGGCTCAGTGAGAAGAACTGAGCTGCAGAGGAAGGCTAGGTTCTAGGTTCGGGACGGCCACGTAGAGCCGAACTGACCGAGCCACGCGCCTTGGAGAGCCGCAGCTGCACCCACCCGCATCCTGCGCGCAAGCCCGGCTGGCTCCCTTTTTTCCTCCCCCCCCCCCCAGGCTTGGCAAGGCTCACCGTGTGTGGGTTCTGCATTCAAGGCGCCGGCTACGAAGCGATGAAACAGTCAGTGGGCTGCGTGGCCGGCAGTCAGTGAGCCTGCGGGGCCGGTACCTCAAATGCCCCTCTGCCACGTCTTAGCTCCCCCTGCTGCCCCCTTGCCTCTTACCACCCCCCTAAAGCATCCCACCGCCCCCCAGGGGGTGGTATCACCTACTTTGGGAACCACTGATCTATATCATAATCTATCTCTATCTTTATTGTGGTGAGTGGCACAGTGGTTAGAATGCAGTATTACATACTAATTCTGCCGATTGCCAACAGTTTGGCAGCTCACTAAGCTCAAGGTTGACTCAGCCTTCTATCCTTCCGAGGTCAGTAAAGTGAGGACCCAGATTGTTGGGGGCAATATGCTGACTCTATAAACTATTTAGAGAGGGCTGTAACGCACTGTGAAGTGGTATGTAAGTCTAAGTATTATTGCTATATGACATAAAAAATCTGATAAATCTGTAGATGAGAATTTTGAAATTTCATGGGAGATCTCAGGAATCAGATCGGTGAATTATGGTAAAATTGTACAGTGGTATTTATCATCAAAGAAACTAAACTTAATTTTTGCAAAATAATAGTGATGATATAGGTATGTAAATACAGTGGTGTAGTTTGAAATCCATAAGTTCTTCCAAAATTTAAGCTAAGCAGCTTCCAGAATGGTGGTTAGGAAATAACAATTTTAGTGAGACATCTTAAGTTAAGTATGAAATTTAAACCTAATTAGAATCAAGTGAAAATTAATTAAATTAGATTTATGCTGACTTGGGCTGGTCAACTCACATACCAGATATAAATGTAACAGATCTCAACTTGCAAATCCTAAAGATTAACGATTTGACTTTAGTGTTAGATGCTGTAAGTGAATTTTACCAAATGTTTTTGTTTGCATATGGGAGAAAAAATATTTCATAAGTTTTCCCGCAAAAATATGATCCAAAGGATTCTGAATTTTTCATTAGTTCATGTAACCATGATGAAATCTATGATGTCAACTGATCATCTGGGTCAGTTAACAAATTTGGAATTTTATGTTTTCAATCATGATTTATTTTTATGTTGTCTATTGAATTCTATATATATGAAAATAACATTTATTTTACAACACAAATTGATCTTTTCACAAGCAAATTATCTCTTATGTAGATATTCAAATGTGCATATCAGTTGAATTTTTCATATGTGTGTGTGTGTGTATGTGTGTATGTATGCAGGGGTCCCCAACCACCTGTCCCTGGACCGGTACCGGTTCGTGGATAATTTTTTACTGGGCCGCAAAGCTTGGGCGCCGCCATCTTGTTTCGACGGCGCTTCCGGGTTTTCGGTTGCTTCCGGGTTTTCGGTTGGAAAGCGGCGTTTGGGTGCTCGCGCCTTAGTTTCGTTGAAGAGACTTCAAACGAAGAGCCGTCCCGATGGCGGTGGAGTCTCGCGTTACTCAGGTACCAGTCCGTGAAAGAATAAATAATCGTGAAACCGGTCCCTGGTTCAAAAAAGGTTGGGGGCCACTGTGTGTGTGTGTGTGTGTGTGTGTGTGTGTGTGTGTGTATATATACACACACATACACATACACATACACATACATACATACATATACATATACATATATGTATGGTATTCAGCTTTGTTTGGGTATTTCCCACGTCATTGTAGTTGTGCTTTTAAAGTTGTAGCAACGTTTCGGCAGAATCTCATCTGCCATCATCAGGCTTCATCAGGCTAAATATATATATATATATATATTTACAAATGTGTGTTTGTATGATTGCTGCTATGTCCTGTTTTTACCAATCATCTTATACTAGTAATATAGTAAAAAGCAAATAAAATATCTCACTCTGAATTTACTGGATATCAAGTATTCTTAGTGTATTCAGAGGAACTGAAGGGTTTTAAACTTCTTGGTGTGAATGGCCCTCATTCCAAATCATTGCATCCCTAGGTGAGTTAATGTTTGATTGTTGACGAACATTGGAATAATATAGATTCTTACACACAACCACTAGAAAAAGTATAATGAAATAATAACATATCATTCAAATTTGTTCCACATATTTTGAAACAGTTCAACAGTCTTTTTGTTATATTTATAACCCTACATTGGCATTAAAATTATAGATGATAATCTCATAACATTTAAAAAAAATAAAGAAAAGGGTATTTAACAAGAATTCAATATAATCATGTCTTATTTAGCTTCCTGAAACATTTGCATTTATCTCAAATAAATGTTAACAAATTCTTGTAAGATAGCTTGTCTGAAAGAATAGCTTCATTTTTCTCTTTCTCTGTGGAATTCATGTTTTTGTGTGTGTGTGTGAAATGTACTTATGAGAAATTTAAAAATTATACTCATGAAAACTGAAGGAAAGTCAATGGGAATGTTTCTCTTAGGGTTCAGTATATTAGAGTAGAACGATTCATATTTATTGTCTCCATTAGGTCTCTTATATCCTGAATATTTGCCCTCGGGACTGTGCGGGGAATATATTTTAAAGAAAGTAAGTTTTCCCAATGTTAATTTCTTGGCAGGACTTGTGAGGCATATCATAGATGTGGCCTTTTCCATGCATATAAGCCTAATAATATTGATGAAAAGAGATTATATTTTCTAAATATCTGGAGGAACCTTTAATAACATGATGGTTTGTTTTAATTACCTATATTTCATCTGAATCTGGGAATTGCATGAATGTTGACAATGTAATGCTTTATAATATGTAATTCTGGTAAACAGTTTGACATTTAATGTAAAACGAGTCTCATTTATACAGCATAAATTAGCAGTTCCTTAGAAAAGGAGATCTCATATGTCATTTTTACAAATGTTTTGTTTAACATTTTACATTTTACAATGTACAAAAATTATGATAGTTTCACCATTTTAGCAATGTATTAGAATTATCTGTCCTCATGGAAACAAATGAGAAAATAATGTTTAATTCCCATAGTATTTTTAATGAGTTCCTGGAAAATGATAATCATATTATTTCATATTGCTATATTTTTATTTAGATTTCTAAATCTTCACATTTACAGTATACTTTTAAATAAACAATTAAAATGTAAATGGTAGTATGGGGTACAACCAGCCCAAATAAATTGAATGCATGAAAGAATCAACCAGCCCAAATAAATTGAATGCATAAAAGAATCAATATTCTGATGAATCATTATTTAATAAATGATACATTTTATGCATCGTGACCGATAGCCACTATATGCTATGCTATTTTTGTATCCATTTTTTATTTTAATAATTCCAGAAATAAAGCATTAGATATGAGTTAGAGAAGAATCAGTTTTTTAAAACCTAGGCCAATTCCATTTGTGCAGTTTTGGTGGATTCATATTTTAAAAAAGAAAAGATTTCTATTGGGATTTGCTGGTCCAAATCCATTTTCTTTTCAGTATATGAAATGACAGTGCATTCTTGATGTCCCAATATTAATTTGTCAGGCATGCATGTATATTCATTTGCCAAACATCAGCCATTTTGGGGGATTTCTATTAGCTTGTCTCAAACTGCAGGCAAGCTAAATTTCTCTAACAGGCATCAATTCGATGTATTAAATGCCGGTTCTGCCCTAGAAGACATATTGATTTTTTTTTCTCAGCAAAGTGACAAATACCATTTTCATGACCATAATAGAGATTGATTACAATTTTATGGAACACAGGGGGAGTTGATCTTGGTGAGACAGCTTGAGGGCATATCAACGTTGAAGAAAATCATTTGGATTAATAAAGAAATTAATTAATTCATGGGCTACTCATAAAGCTGAAGCATTGTAGAGACAATGGAAACTACCGCATGATCATTCATTCATGAATACTGATGTGACAAACATTGCTAGTGACTAAAAATTTAGGACAATTTTAAAGATAATATTGCTTAACCCTATTTATTTATTTTTAATTTATAAATGCTATGTCCTGAAATATTTGCTTGTTTTAATGTGACATGAACTTTCCAAGACAATAATGCAGGTGAATCAAGAGGACATGCAGACAGAAAGTTAGAGATATTATTGCAGATAGAATAGAATATAATTCTTTATTGGCCAAGTGTGATTGGACACACAAGGAATTTGTCTTTGGTACATATGCTCTCAGTGTACATAAATGGAAAAAATACATTCATCAAGAATAATAAGATAAAACACTTAAGTGATAGTCATAGGTTACTAATCAGCAATCAAATCATACTAGGAAACAAAACTATAAATTGTAAAGATACAAGCAACATGATTATATTCATAAGTGGGAAGAGATAGGTACTAGGAAGGGTTATTATAATCTAGTAGTAGAGGAATAATAGTAATACAGTCTTAGTAAATAAGTTGACAGTGTTGTGGGAATTAGTTGTTTAGCAGAGTGATGGCATTTGGGAAAAAAACTGTCCTTGTGTCTAGTTGTTCTGGTGTGCTGTGCCCTATAGCATTGTTTTGAGGGTAGAACTTGAAACAATTTATGTCCAGGATGTGAGGGGGGTCTGTAGATATTTTCACAGCCCACTTTTTGACTCATGCAGAATACAGCTCCGCGATGGAAGGTAGATTGGTAGCAATTGTTCTTTTCTGCAGTTCTAATTATCCGTTGAAGTCTGTGTCTGTCTTGTTTGGTTGCAGAGCCAAACCAGACCGTTACAGAGGTGCAGATGACAGACTCAATAATTCCTCTGTAGAATTGAATCAGCAGCTCTTTGGGTAGTTTGAGCTTTCTGAGTTGGCACAGAAAGAACATTCTTCGTTGTGTTTTTTTGATGACGTTCTTTAGATATCCATTTTAAGTCTTGAGATATGATAGAACCTAGAAACTTGAAGGTCTCGATACTGTGTTGTCTAGTATTGCAAGAGGTGATTGTATAGGAGGATTTCTCCTAAAATCTACCACAATTTCTATGGTTTCGAGTGTATTTAGTTCAAGATTGTTCCACTAAAAGGCTAGTTGTTCAATCTCCCGTCTGTATGTAGATTCATCGTTGTCTCGAATGAGACCAATCACTGTTGTATCATCTGCAAACTTCAGTACTTTAATAGAGGAATCTTTTGAAATGCAGTCATTGGTATATATAGAGAAGAGAAGTGGAATAGCACACAGCCTGGCGGGCTCCTGTGCTAATTGTACAGGTATCTGATGTCATGACTATGAACTGCTTCCAGAACATTTTCTCAGTCCTTTATCCCCATATATCTATGGGTAGTTTTTCAGTTGGATTCTGTCTATTGTTCTCAGTGTTTATTCTAATTGTTTTTATGTCTGTCTGTCTGTCTGTCATCTCTATCATCTGTCTGTCTGGGCTAGTGAGAGTGACTAGCTTAAAATCAGTCTGACTTTCGTGCCTATAGAGTACTAGAACTCACAATTCTGTTTTTTAGACTAGCATTCTCACCACTACGGCAAACTGTATCACAAATTTACAAATTTTCTCCATTACATGGACAAGTGATTTAGCATTACAATTTACAACTCCTGTGAGTTCAGGTATTTTTCCAACCCCTCTTCACAGAATTGCACCATCACATAGTTCAAAGTAGCGATGTAGTGTATCAAGTTTTGCCATATGCCAGGTGATTAATATTAAATATACTTAGTGAAAATTAATAACATTTTTGGAGTTGCTAAAAACTCCTATTTCAAATTAAAATCAGCCAGAAGTATTTTATAGGCAGTTACTCTAAAATGGAAGCAAAAGAATGGATAAACAGGCTACAAGGAGAGGGAGAAGACTGTTCCGAGGTTGGGCTCATTCTTATTAAACACAAAGTGTGAGCTGGTCCTAGTGCACCAAATACAGAAATTTAGAATGTGAATGCAACATGTCCACATTTTCACACAAGTTCACCCCAGATAATGCTGCTTCTGCCCTCCTCCCCAATCCTCCAGGCCAGTGGTCGCCAACCAGTGGGCTGGGGACCACTGGTGGTTGCAAGAAAATTTTGGTGGTCTGCAGAGAAATATCACCCTCAAAGCACCCCCCAAAGCAATTAACCCAGGCTGCACAGGAACACAAGTCTGTGCCCCCCACATGGCCTGCAGGAACACAAGGCTTGCATCACTTGCATTGCGAACAGCACATAGTGAAGGGAGGGGGGAAAGGGCGGACAGGGGGAACTTGCCCCACTCACCCTATGCGCCTGGCCTGGCCACCGGGCTGCTTCTTTCCGCTTCTTTCTTCTTCTTCTTCTTTTGGCTGCACGCAAGGAAAGCAGCAAAAGTCTTTCTTTCTCTCCCCCAAACTCCATTAGAAATGAGTCTTTGGGGACCCTGCAAGGCATCCTGCTCCAAGAGGCTGTGCCGGCGCGACAAGTCTCCCAAAGACTCATTTCTGGCAGAGTTTGTGGGAGAGAAAGAAAGATTTCTGCTCCTTCTGCTGCTTTCATTGCATAAAGCAAAAAGTCTCTCTCTCTCTCTCTCTCTCTCTCTCTCTCTCTCTCTCTCTCTCTCCCTCCCTCCCTCCCTCCCTCCCTCCCTCCCTGAGAATGGAGCTGGAAATGGTATCCTGTGATCTCAAATAAAGAATGTTCGATCGATTAGGAAAACGGTGAGGGATTTTCCGCAGACTTTTTTGCTGACGTTTTCCCAGGATCTCTGCAGAGACCCTGGGAAAATGTCAGCAAGCCACCGTCAGTCAAAATTCATATTAGTGGTCCGTGGGATTTAAAATTATGAGTTTGGTGGTCCCTGAGTTCCAAAAGGTTGACGACCCCTGCTCCAGGCCCTTATCAGTTAATTGAAAAACTGTCTAAATGGTATTAGATTTGCTTCTCTGTGAACAACACAACTTTTTCCTTTTTAGAGGGAGCCAGAATCCAACAAAAGCCGCATGTTAAATAAAAGGAGCAGTGTAATTGGAACATCAATGTCTGAAGAAGTGGTCTTTTTTATAAAAAAAAATCTGCTATTCCACTTATTTAGTGCTTAAATAACCATCGTGTTGTCTGGATTATTTTGTTTAGTTAACAATAACAATTCAAATTATATTCCTAATCTTTACCCCTTTTTTCCAGCCATTGGTAAAATAAATTCCATGTTTGATAGTATTGTATCTTCTTTCTCTTTAATCTTCAATGTAAGTCTGTCCATTTCTGCACTGTCCAATATCTTCTTAATTATTTCATCATCTAGTGGTGTTTCTTCATTTTTCCAATTCTGAGCAAATACAATCCTCGCTGCTGTTAATAAATGCAATATTAAATATACACTTTGTTTATCAAATTTTTCTGATATTATACCTAATAAAAATTCAGGTTTAAGATCTACATGTTTTCCTAACATCTTTTCTAACCACATGTGTATTTTTGCTCAAATATTTTTTGCTCTAACACATCCACCAAGATGGTAATATGTGCCAGATTTTTGGTTACATTTCCAACATTTATTAGACATATTTTCGAACATTTTGGCTAACCTAACAGGTGGTAGGTGCCATCTATAAAACATTTTATGTAAGTTTTCTTTATACGAAGTTGCCATTGTTAATTTATAATTTATTTCC